GATACCATCCAGCTTACTGCTATAATGGATAAGATCTCGTGTAATACGCATTTTTTCGGCGTGGGTTGGTTTTTCGACAGCTTTGGTAATAAACCATATGACAAGCGTTTTCCACAGAATATCAACTTTCTAATAAACAATTCTAGAGTGATCCAACATTCAGCGGTACAAGTCCAAGATTTTTCGGCAGAGACCTGCGGGCAGCATTGTGTGTTTTTTCTCTATCACATGGTAAAGGGACATGATTATGACCGTGTGTTGAAGATGTATACCGACAATTTTATTAAAAATGACAAGATGGTGTCGGCGTTTATGAAAAAACTCAAACTAAAAAAAGGTAGTTGTAATGAAAATGTTTTCAAATGTATTCATTGTGTTCAGACAGGTGAAATGTTTATGTCTAACACTAAATTTTTTCAATAAAAACAAAGAATAGAGATTTCTTCTTCTTTTGACTCTTTATTATTATTGTTATACACACATCACATGTGGCAATACATATAATAACAAAATCACAAACAATAGAAAATTTGTGGATTAAAAATGTAACCACTGACTGGCGTCAAGAACGGGTGATTTAAATACAGGTCCATCTGAATAATTTGATTGTGCTGATGGTGTACTCGGAGGTATTTTGTGTTTTTTACGCTTCTTAGACGAGTTGGTTAAAGGCGAAGTCGATTTGGTTTTGAAAGAGTTAATTGCATGTCTGACATAAGGGTTTGAGAGCCGTGATGCCTTTAACTAAATCGAGCATACGTGAGCCAGGAATAGTTCTACCGTCAAACACAAACTCTCCTGAATCGCCCCAAGATGTGACATCTTTCATTTTAGACATTTTATCCAAAATGTAGCGAGCGTTTTTTACATTCCTCTGCAGAATATTCTTCAAAATATCATCCACTACATTATCTAAATTTATCCAAAATAAAAAATTTTGGATTATTTAATGTTAAAATAGAGTTTAGGCTGAGGAATGAAGTTTAGGTGTGGTGAAATGGTTAGGCTTGGGGTCAGGTATGGGTTCAAAGGTCAGGGTTGGGATTAGGGTCAAACATAGGGTTCAAAGGTTAGGGTTAGGGTTTAAGGGGTTGGGGTTAGGGTTAGGGTTTAGGGGTTAGGGGTTGTGGTGTTAGGGTTAGGGGGTTGGGATTAGGGTCCATGGTAGGGTTCAAAGGTAAAGGGCTCCATTCAAAGTTCCTTCAATTATATGAAGTCTGCAGGTACCACGTGATGGAAAACAGCCCCACATCATGATGCTTCCACCTCTAAACTTCACTGTTGGTGTAGTGTTTTTAGGGTGATGTGCAGTGCCATTTCTTCTCTAAACATGGTGTGTAGTATGAGAGACAAAAAGTAAAATTTTTCTCTCCCAGTATTTCATAGGCTTGTCCAAAGGAGTTGTAGCAAACTTTAAACCAGCTTCGACATGCCTTTTCTTTAGTAATGGAGTCTTGTGGGGTGAGCATGAGCAGTGGAGTGCATTAACTATTTTCTGTGACGATGGTACCTGCTGCCTCCAAAGTGTTTCTAGAGCTCTTTCTCCAGAGGTCCTTGGCTCTTGGGATACTCTTCTGACTGTTCTTCTGACTCCCTGGTCAGAAATCTTGTGAGGAGCTCCTGTGTGTGGCCGGTTGTTGACGGAGTGATGTTGCTTCCACTTGCGGATAATGGCCCCAATGGTCTTACTGGAAATTTCAGTTTTGAAATAGGTCTGTATCCAATTCCATCAATACGTTTCACAACAATAAGGTTCCTTGCCTTGAAGATCTGCTTTTTCTTAGCATGTTCAATCCTTTTTTTTGCGTGCCATTCCACTTTATTACACTTTATTTATGGACTTTAATGTTGTTAATTCTTTATATTTGAAGATTTCTTGAGTTAATACTGATGTCTGGGTCACGGGGAACCTGGAGCCTATCCCAGGGAGCATCGGGCACAAGGCGGGGTACACCCTGGACAGGGTGCCAGTCCATCACAGGGCACAATCACATACACACTCACACACTTATTCATACACTACGGATACTTTGGACATGCCAATCGGCCTACCATGCATATCTTTGGACTGGGGGAGGAAACCTGAGTATCCCCACACAACCCCACAGGACGGGGAGAACATGCAAACTACACACACAGGGCCACGGTGGGAATCTAAACCCCGACACTGGAGGTGTGAGGCAAATGTGCTAACCACTAAGCCACTGTGCGCCCCAAAACCAATCAATGTGCTAACCACTAAGCCACCGTGCGCTCTTACATGTTGTCATATTAATTATAATTCAAATGCATTTTGTTTTATTTAACCAAATAAAATTTGTGATTAAATCAATAATGCTTTCATGTTTAGCTTATGAAATAACATTTGGCTTAGCAAGAAAAGCAGACTTTTTTTTGTAAATTTGAACTGATAATCCCTGGCCTGAGTAATGAAGTGAATATGATGATAATAATAATACATGTTCTATAACATGTAAAACAGGAACATGAAAGGAATATTCTAAAAACGACTCATGTAAACACCTTAATCACAATATTGTCCCATTCAGAATAAGGTCAATATTTGTATTACTACTGTCCATGTAAACATAGTCCATGTCAGCAGCAGAGCCATATCTACAGGGCAGGCAAGGCAGGCAAATGCATGGGGCCCCACATACTGAGAGGGCTCCTGAGGGCTGATCATTTAAATAAACAGAAACTTAAAATAATGCACATCAACATCAAAGCAACCCCCTTAAAATCTTGTTTGAGGACTTTTTTATGCTCCTTCACCATCCTTTCACATTTGAGTTGCGCAAACTTTAATTCCTGAAAATGAATCTGAAAAATTAACCTATCTGACAGAAGCACAAGGGACAAAAAGAGGAAGAGTAAAAGAGGAAAAAGGAGGGTTGTAAGTGAAGGAGATAATGATGAATGAATTACGGATAATTTAAGATAAACAGCCTACACCCAGTTGTCCAATTTCACTTTTATTTCACCTTATTATAAGATGAATTACTGGTCATATTTAGTTACGGGTTAGCATGTTTTGAGTAGTGTGAGCAGTTCTTAATATGGGCTAAAATGCAATAGGTACTGGGAATGATGAACTCACTTGCTCCCACAAATCAATATTTAACGTTTATTAAAATTGGTGTTTGTCACTACATATCTGAACTTCAGTGAAAGAAGACGGCAGTGCTGTAATTTTGTATCTTCAGTGAACGGAGGCAAGACCAATTAGACACGGTTTACAGGAAAATGCTTGGAAATACTTGTGTCTTATTGGCCGACAGGTCTCTAGCTCACACAGACTGTGAGGGGAAAATGCATTTTTTATTAACCACTAAGGGGGTTGAAACTGAAACACAAACATCCGCTCATGCTGAGCAGAAAAACAAGGTATGTAAATGTCTGTATGAGTTCCAAGTTACATGAACATGATGTGAGAACAGATCATGTTCATATCATGGACAGCTAACTTTGCATGGCACTGTAGCAGCTAAACCCATACAATTATAGCTTAGTTGTGCCTCCTCTTGACTAACGGCACCAAATTAGCCTAGTCTCATGTTAGATAGGCAAAAAGTTTGATATTTTATCAGTCTGGTAGTCCTGCAAACAGTAATAACACTCAAGTCAAGTTTTATGATAAACTTTTTGTACAATTTTCACTTTTTTTTTTAGCGATTAGCCCTCATATGCAAGAAATGCATGGAAACAGTCTATTTAGAAGTACGATTTAAAAAGTTAATACTTAATTCTGATAAGACAGAAGTACTTGTACTAGGACCATGTGTAGCTAGAAATAATCTTTCTGATCTCACAGTAACTCTGGATGGACTTTCTGTTTAATTAATGTGCATCAGCAAGATACCTTGGAGTGATTATTGACTCCAGTCTATCATTTGATGCTCATGTAGATAATATTACTAGGATAGCTTTCTTTCATCTCAGAAATATTTCTAAGATAAGAAACATATTGTCACTACATGATGCAGAAATACTGGTTCAATGATTTCGTCACCTCTAGATTAGATTACTGTAATGCCTTACTGTCTGGATGTTCCAGTAGGAATATAAATAAACTCCAGTTAGTCCAGAATGCAGCTGCTAGAGTCCTTACTAGAACTAGAAGATACGACCACATCACGACGATCTTATCCACACTGCATTGGCTCCCTGTAAAATCTCGCATTGACTATAAAATACTTTTCTTAACCTATAAAGCACTACACGGTCTTGCACCACAATATCTAAGCGACCTTCTGGTTTTATATGATCCACCACACGTACTCAGATCAAAAGGTGCAGGCTATTTGACGGTACCTCGAATAGTGAAGGCTACAGCAGGGGGAAGAGCTTTCGCTTATAGAGCCCCACAGTTATGGAACAGTCTTCCTATTAGTGTTCGGGACTCAGACACAGTCTCAGTGTTTAGGTCTAGTCTTAAAATGTATTTATTTACTCAAGCCTACTCTGACTAGACTTTCTGTTACGCTAAGCAAAGTCCTAGTCTCTTCTATCCCTCTCTCCTTCTGTCGAGCCACACACGATTTTATGGAGATACTAGAGATGCTGATCCTTTCTGCTCTCCGGACCTGCCTGATCCATTTCGGATGTCCTGCCTCTGGATGGAGCTCTCATTTACTCCAATTCCAGATTGTGGGGACTACGGCTGTTCCTAAGGCCATACAGACTTCATATAAAACCATAATTAACTTTTTAACACTATCTGTTGTTAGCCAGATGAGGATGGGTTCCGGTCTGAGTCTGGTTCCTCTCAAGGTTTCTTCCTCTTAAAACATCTTAGGGAACAACCAATACTTTTTTCGCAAGCCAATATGGATAAATTCACACATTTAAAATCTGTATACCGTGTTAATATGTTTCTGTAAAGCTGCTTTGAGAAAATTTCCATTGTAAAAAGCGCTATACGAATAAAATTTTATTGAATTGAATTAGAAGTCTGCTCCTCTTAAATGTATTTAAAGCTAGACATGTTCCACTGTGGGCGCACAGTGGCTTAGTGGTTAGCACGTTCGCCTCACACCTCCAGGGTCCAGGGGTTCGATTCCTGCTGTGTGTGTAGAGTTTGCATGTTCTCCCCCGTGCTGCGGGGGTTTCCTCCAAAGACATGAATTAGAAGTCTGGTAGGTTGATTGGCAGCTTGGTAAATTGTCCGTAGTGTATGAATGATGTGTGAGTGTATATGTGATTGTGCCCTGTGAATGTGTATGTGACTGGCACCCTGTCCAGGGTGTACCCTGCCTTGTGCCCGATGCTTCCTGGGATAGGCTGCTTCCTGAAGCAGGAATAAGTGGTAGAAGATGGATGGATGGATGTTCCACTGTCATGGTTCTGGGCTGGAGTCAGTTCTCGACCCGCTCTGTGTATATTGTGTAGATATCTGAATAATCTCATACAGGATGTGATGGAGTTCATTTACCCGTCAGATGAGAAGTGCTTTAGTGTAATGGTGTTCATTAGGGACGCACAGATCAGGATTTTTACAGACGATACGATCCAGATACCAATCTTTTTGTTTAAACTTTAATCAGGAGGTTTATCATAAACAGTTAAATGTAAGCTCTCTGCTCATGGTCACTGTTAATTCAGTTAAAATAATAGCAAGGAGAAATACTGCTGGTTAATTGATAAATAAACAGCATAAAATATTTCTTTTTAAATATCTTAAACAATAAAGAGGACTAATTAAAAGTAGACTAACACAAACATGATCCATATTAGGAAAAAGACTACTAGCCTTCTACAGATATAGCAAACTAAGATATTCAAATTGATATTAAATGCAACCCATAGTAATTCAACATTATCATTTCTCATTTTATTTATATTTAATGAATTTATTATAATATCTATTTTTTATATTAAATGATTTATTTATAACTAAGCACATTTTCTGTCTTTATATTTTATAATTTTTTATTTTTATCTGTTGTTCCTTTTAGATCGTTTCTTTACAGTGTTGCCATGTCTGCTGATAAATTTTTTGTTTTGGGGAGTTAAATCAGAACATGGAAACTGGAGTTGACTTTTCAGGTAATATCTGGCAACCATGAGTTTAAATGAAGTGAATTCCCTGTCTATTAGAGCTAGTGAAGGAGAGCAGCAGTGTACTGTATGTTTACAGACTGTACAGTTGCTACTCTTGATTATGATTGGTGAGGAATTATTTAATAAAGACATTTGCATTAAAACCCACATTGTAGCGTTAGCATTATTATTCATTTACTCTACCCGACACCGCTGTGTCTACATGAGTATGTCATAGTCGCAGGTTCAGGTCATTTTGTGGGATCAGTAAAAGATGGAGGTTGTGAGATCGGGAGGTTGAGGGAAGCAGATGATGTACAGTGTTACACTTCATCATAATGGCTTCTCTGCAGTATTTACACACTTGTTTGGTTGACTGAGATGATGAAAAGCAGTGTTAAAGTAACTTGTTTATTTTTTTATAAATAATGCTCATCCCAGGAGTCTTATACACAATATACTGATCATCCTATTAACACACTTTTAAAAAATCAAATGGTTTGATTTGAGTAATATGAGTAATAATTTATAATCCATGCTGCTGTCACTCTGGCTCATTGAGGATATAAATCTACATTTCAATTTCTGTAAAGCTGCTCTGTGTTATGTCTACTGTTCAAATTGAAAGGATATTTTGGGTCTACTGTCACTGGCTGAAGATTACATTCACAATACTGAAGATGAAAATTGGTACAATGAAAACAAATGAACCTGAACTTTTTCCTTCTTCAGCTGCTCATGAACAAACCAAAATCTATTTTATTAAATCCTGTTGAAACCAATGTTTTAGAAATGAAAAGCCTGGCCAACATTTTGAAGGATTAATATTAACATGGATTTGCACCAAAAGAAGCCCAAAGACATGAAATCACTTCTATTAAATGGCTATTTTAAGCAACAGCCTTCTGGTCCTAATAGTACACCTTTAATCACTGAGCTCCCACATTCTATTTGTATGTCATGCTATACGTACAAGCCGTCTGCTGTGTCTGAAACCGCATACTTACCTACAATATAGTCACTGAAATACATGTAGGCAAATATAGTTGCCATCAAATGGTTAAGCACTGCCGTGTGTGTACGTGTCCTGTCACACAATGCGGTGAAAACTCTTACACGGCATTAAAAGTGTGATTAAGGTGTTTACATGTCTGTAATACACGTCGCTAATGCGACTGAAACAGAAGTACTCCACATGTCTTAATTTCATTTGTGTTTACTGTGAGTATGACCTTAATTAGATTATCTGTTTACATGCTAGTTTCTTAATCAGAGTATTGTTTTAATCGGGTTAATAATGCACTACGTTACGACGGACAGCACTAATCTAATTATTGACCTTATTCTGAATGCAATATGCAATATTCTTTCAGTTTCAGATGTTTGGTAGACGCTGGTCTGTCATGCGTACCACATGTCCTGCCCAGCGTAGCTGGGTCGTGATCAAGATGGTGAAGATGCTAGGGAGGCCTGCTTGATTGAGAACCACAGTGTCTGGGACTTTGTTCTGCCACTTGATGCCAAGGATTTTTCTGAGACTGATGGTGTGAAAATGGTTCAGTTTACTGGCATGACGTTGATACACTATCCACATTTCGCATGTATACAGCAGTTTTTTTTTTTTTTCTCAATGAAATATTTGGGAAAGGGAAAGGAGGGGAGAAAAGGTGAATCACACGAAAATGAATCACATGTAAATGAAACATACTTATTAAGATTGTAGCAACAGGAAGTAACTGAAAATGGTATTCACAGGACTTGGGGCCTGTGACTTGGGGTGTGTGATTATGTGTCCATAAAGCCTCTGGTATATGTCTTTGTTTTTTTTTTTTTTTTTTTTACGTGTATGCTTGCCTATGTGCACAGTCATACGTATATCCTTTTACAGTATACTCCATTTGACAAGTACGCATACAAAGCAGTCGACGCATTCGCATAGCGACAACTTGCACTACTCCTCCTGGCCTACAAGAGTCAGTACAGAACAGTAAAGCAGGTCTTCTGGTGTGAAGGACGACAACGAAGAAGAATCAAAACAACATAAAGAATAATGCTTGGGCAATGTCTCGCCACGATTAGCACCCATATACAGATCCTTATGCTCTTCAAGGCTAGAATTATACAAATGCAGGTACTTTCTAACTTGCATTCGTTTCCATCTCTTCTGTTTTTATTTAGTTTTTTCTTCAACTACATGGAGAATCAATGGCCCTGGGTCACTGTTGCCACCATGTGGAACATCTAAATAGTGCAAAAGAATTAAATGTGCATGTGCGACTTGCATGTACAAAGTATTAACTCAGAAAAATTGGGTGGTGCGCTTACAGCACACACATACATATGACATTTACATCACGCATACAGTACACTGTTCCTAGAGTATGTTTAGAAGGTGAAGCATACTTTCTGCTTTAAACAAAGATAAAAGAAATTAGGCCTGATCAGAGGACCTATTCAGGGCCCTGTGCACCTGCTTATTTATGGAGTTATTCACAAACACCTGCTTATTTATGCAGTCAACCAAGAATAGGAATCTGAGGCTATCATGGGCACAGGCTCACCCAAACTCACACACACCCAATTTCTCCCTAACTCCATCTGGGGATTAATATTATAAAGTTAATAATAATTATATATATATATATATATATATATATATATATATATATATATATATATATATATATATATATATATATATATATATATATATATATATATATATATATACACACACACACACACACACGCAAAATGGATATAAAAATTCTACACACCCCTGTTACAATGGCAGATTTTAGTGATGTAAAAAAAAAAAATAAATGTCAAAAATATTCCCACCCCCAATATGAAATAACATCTTAAAAAATTAAGTAAAAAAACAATCAGAAACATTTGAGGGAAAAATAAAAAAGTTACAATAACCTCTTTGTATTAGTGTGCACACCCTTATATCAGTGGAGATGTGGCTGTGTTCAGAATTAACCAATCACATTCAATCTCATGTTCAAAAGTAATTATCATACAGCTGTAATCAATGAAATTATTCTGATTAACTCCAAATAAAGACCAGCTGTTTTTGTAGGATTTTCTTCACATTTTCTTGGTTTCATCTGACTGCTGAAGCCATGGTCTGCAAAGAGCTTATAGAGCATGCATGGTATCTTACTTGTTGAAAGGAATCAGAAGAGGGGCATAAAATAATTTCCAAAATATTAAATGTACCATGGAACACCGTAAAGAACATCAACAAAAAGAGGAAATGGAGCACCAAAGTGACATCACCAAGAATATGACATCTCTCCAAAATTGATGAAGAGAAAAGAAAAAATCTTACCAGGGAGGCAGCCAAGAGACCTACATTAAAGCAACATTAAAGGAGATGCAAGTACGAGTACTGATTACTCTCTGCATGTGACAACATTCTCTCATATTGGTCGGGTTCAGTACACACAACCACAATCTATTTTGCATTTCATTTGGAAATTTTGGAAACAGTCAGTGATGATTTGGGGGGACATGTCATCTGCTGGTGTTTTCTCAAGTCAATGCAGCTGTCAAGGCACGTGTACACATAGACATCAAAGGGGGCTTAAGCAGCTGCCCTTTTTCATCCTCGAGAGAAAGTGCCCTTTTTTCTATTCCTGTTTGTGCACAACTTCCCTGTTAAACAAATATATTTATGCAAAATATAATAATAAAATGTAAAAAAAAAAAATAATGATAAAAACAATCAAAATATCAGGTTGGGAGATGAGACTTTGTTGAGTTTTGATGCCCTCCCTGCCTCCCTCCTTTCGCACCTCTGCGCAGCAGTGCAGCACACATTGGCACATCAGACACACACACAGACAGGCAGGCAGTAGCCCCTCCTAGCTCCTATTTCAGTTGTGTTTCTCTTGGCTTGTGTGGAGGTGAGTGGTGATGAACAAAAGACTAAGATACCATGCATAGACTTTATAGCTAATTTTTTTGTGAGCATGAACTTATTTATTTTTTAGTTTATTTTATTCATTTTCATATGATTCATT